GGTCTGCTGAGACGGGATTGCGCTGGTGGGAGTGGCAGTGGGATGTACGGCAGGGTAGCGCAGGTGAGAAGGCTGTGAGTGAGTGGAGTTCGGGTTCGGCCGCTCCATACCCATCTCTTCGAACCCCGCGATCCACACTCCAAACCCCACATTTCCAACCCCGGCACCCACACCACCCGTCCCGAAACCCCGCCCGTGCCGCCAGGTGTACCTGATCTGTGAGCTGGTGACGGGGGGCGAGCTGCTTGAGGCAGTCATACGGCGCGGCTACTACAGCGAGGCCGAGGCGCGGCTGTGCTTCCAGCAGCTGCTGAGGGGCATCGACTACCTCCACAGCAGGTGCGCCCCAAGCGCACGCATGTGCGGGTTTGGCGCACGGGCTGAGCGGGTGCGTTCCCGATCTCCTAATCAGTGCTGAGCAAAGTTGAGGTTTGGTCGATGTTGGGGAAAGCTTGGACTAGGGATGTGGTGAAATCAAACTGTTTGTGCAAAGCATCGCCAACAAGCATGGGGGGAGCCATGGCCCTGCAGTTGTTGGCAAGGATTAGGATTAGGATTAGGATTGTTACAAGGTCCCGTGGTCGCCGGCTCCTGGAGCCATCCAGGCTCATGGGACATGGCTTGGTAGCATCAGCATTGTGTGACAGGGATTCAAGGGGCCACTGTTCGCCGTTCAAAGCAGGCGTGCACAAAGGCCCCGAGTGTATGCTGGTCCGCACTGCGCACAAGGGCGCGCATGCGGGCATGTGCAAGCAAGAGAGAGGCCATCCCAGCATTATCGCGTTGCCCCGCATAGAGGCGAAGACCTGCATGCACCCTGCATCCCTGTCCGTACGATCTCAATTCAACTCACCAACTCTTGCCCACTGCCCCTGGCGCACTACCCCTGGCTCACCACCCACGCCCTCACCACCCCATGCGCCACCACCTTTGTACGTGCTGCCCCAAGCTGCTGCCCCATGACTGCCATTTGCTTCACCAGCCCCGCCCCTCCGCCTCGCATCACCACCCCCAACTCCCAGGAATGTGGTGCACCGCGATCTGAAGCTGGAGAACCTACTGCTGGCTGCACCTGATGACATCACCAAGGTGTGGGGCATTGGGACGAGGGGGGACGGGTTGGTGGGGTGCATGGGCGTGTCAAGTGCTGGTGCAGTAAGTACAGGTGCAGGAATGATTGGCTGCGGCAGCAGCATGCCGTTTCGCAAGATGAAGCCCCATCCCCAGCAAAGACGTCAACATACAACCGTTCCGCTTCAATCCCACAAGCCTGGATGGCTCCACAAGCCTGCGAATACGGGATGTTGCAACAATCTAAAACCTAATCTTGCTCTCCGGCAGTGCCTCGTGCGCCGTGCAACTTCGTTCTTTCCGTCATGCATGTGACTGCAGGTCAAGATCGCAGACTTTGGGCTGGCCAAGCGGTCCGCGGCGGGCGCGATGTCCACCGTCTGTGGCACGCCGCAGTATGTGGCCCCGGAGGTCATCCAAGGCACTCCTGGTCTGATGTACGGCCCGCAGGTGGGTCAACGTGCTCCATAGTTCCAGGGGCCGCCCCGGGCAGCAAGTTGCCCCGGCCACAGCCCACAAGGGCGCACGGTAGCCACCTGAATCTCAGTGACACAACGCTGGTGCTTTACTGTACAATCCCATGAGCCTGGATGGCTCCAGGAGCGGCCGACCGCGGGACGCTGTAACATTCCTAATCCTAATCCACAAGGGGGGGGGGGGGTTGTGACGCGCTCCGTTGCGCGCCATGCAGGGCTGAGCTTGCTGCTGCGCGCAGCAGTCGCTGTTGTAGGGCCGACATGGCTGATCTGCAGCCACGCTCGACCGGCTTGCTGTCTGTGCCATGCGGTTTATCACGCGCCGTTGAATAACCGTCGCCAATTGCCGCCGACCGCCCCAGGTCGACATGTGGAGCGCGGGGGTGGTGCTGTACATTCTGCTGGCCGGCTACCCGCCCTTCTACTCGGAGTCCGAGCCGGCGCTATTCGACCAGATCCGGCGCGGCGCTTTCAGCTTTGACGACCCGGCGT